TCTCTCTCTCTCTCTCTCTCTCTCTCTCTCTCTCTCTGTGTGTCTGTGAGAGCCGAGTCGAAGCTAAAGCTCTGCATGTTGTGCTCGATGTTCAGTTAAGAAACTGTTTTCCTTTGTCCCTTTCAAGATACGGAGCGACGCAGCAGCGGGAGATTTGGGAGCCGGCGGGACCGGGGGGATAGGGCGAGAAAGAGTCACTGAGTGACTCACCCACACACACACACACACACACACACACACACACACACACAGAGACAGAGAGAGAGAGAAGGAGAAGGAGAGCGGTTATTGTGAATACCTGTGCAGATCGTTGAAAGATCAAGGCACGTACTCCAATCAGAGTTTTGGTCTCCAAGCTATTATCCTCAACACCTCCGGCTCCACTAGCCCCAGGATCTCAATACACCTCCAGCTCTCGGAGGTGGAGGTGGGGAGGTGGAGGTGGTATCAGTCAGTGCACCTCCTCCGCCCGCACCGTTCAACAGGAACGGGAAAAACGGAATACACTGCTCTTTCTGCCTTACCGCTCCTCAGGGGGGGACGGGCGACTTCCGCCACGCACGCGGCGGAAGGCATGCGCTACCGGGACCGACCACGAGGTCCAGGTGAGGGCGCAAGCTTCCGCCCGTGACCGTGGGCAAGGTCCCACTTGCGCAAATTAGGAGATTTGGGCCGTTGATCCTTGCTATTTACGGTCACTATCTCTTAATTCGTGCAAGTGTGACCTAGCCTCGTGAAAAGCACACAAGTACCGAGGGAGGGAGGGAGGGAGGGAGGGAGGGAGGGAAGGACCACCATGCTTTCCCCTCATAGCGGAAGTCGTTCCATGGACCTACCCTACTGGTAGCTCCACAGCTCGCATGTTCTAGCGGAAGATTCACTCTCATTTTGTTTTTTTTGTGCATTTGGAGAGCGGTGGAGCGAGAGGCCCCATATGTCACGGGGCCACCGCGGTACGTCACGAGGCAGTCAGGTCGTTAGGCCCTACAACGAGCTTGCGCCGCCGACAGACCCCGCTTGTGACGATGTGCTGACCATAGGCCTACCGGCAGGTAGCTCCACTATACTCACCAAATGTATGCACAATATGAGAACGAATCTTACGCTAGAACATGGAAATATACACCGCCATAATTTTGGCCCCTCGTGCATGGGTTGAGTAGTGGAACGACCCCCCATAGGCACACCGGCTTAGTCCCGGAGCATAACGCCTAGGCGTTGTATCCGAGTTCTAAAATAGCAGAGCCATGCTGTATGCACTACCTTGGTCCCCGAGCATACGCCTAGGCGTTCTATTCGACTTTTCAAAAACAGGGCCATTTTTTGTATTTTATTTTATTTTTCCTCCAAAAAACGGGCCCAGTTGGGCACTGGGCCCATGTTTGGAAAAAAAAAAAAAAAAAAAAAAAAAAAGGCCCTGTTTTTGAAAAGTCAAATAGAACGCCTAGGCGTTATGCTCGGGGAGGCCGGAATTCCGAGTCATGCTTGAAGGGGAATGCGGCGGTTGGCGCTGGAATAGCACTCTATGTTCGCGCTACCGGCATAGCGGCCGGTTTGGTAGTCTCTGGCAGGTACCAACATGAGGGAAAAGGAATTGGGTCCGGCTCGGCTTTTTCCGAACAACCGCCCGACGCGACGGCAGATTTCCATTTCTGCTATCGACCTGAGGTAAGTGAGCTATGGTTTACGACGGTGAAGAAGAATTTTGAGAGCTAAGAGAATCTACGTGGGTGCGCGCCAGTACAGGCGCTCGCCTCTGAATGCACAAGGATTTACGGGGACCCAAGGTGAAGGGATAGACACTAGGAGCAGAGGCGCGATAGGCTAGCGAGAGGAAGCAGACTATGAAGATGCAAGTGAAAGGATAGACAATAGGAGCAGTGACGCAACAGTCAAGAGAAAGGAAAGAAGACGTAAAGGAATACCGAAGGTAATAGCAGAGCGGGAAGATCACCCCCTCGAGACCGTGACGTGAGCTTGGCGGACGAAAATGAGAGTCAAACTTCTTATTGCAAAATGCTTTGAAGATGAAATCACCCCAGAGAACCTCTGTCATGGAGAGTTTGTGATGGAGAACGGTGTAAAGATCTTCAAAGTAGATGAAAACGTGGGCAGGTTAACAACATCATGGCTTAAAGAGAGAATTGTCACGATAATATTCCAAGGCGCAGCAAGAGACCTCCCACAAAAAGTGAGAGAGAATCTAAGAAGGGCATACGAGAATGGATCGACGCGCCAGCGGATCTTCGACCGTACGGTGAGAAGAGGAAGAACTCAAGGTGAGGGTCCTAATATCATCTCCTATATCGCAATGACCACCGAAATCGCAGTGGATGGTGGCCAAAGCCGAAGATAAGGTAGTAGTGGGGGGTGTAGAGTATGTGATGCTCTTCAAACCTTGGATGACGAGGAAAGAGTTGGAGGAAAGGAGAAGGATAGATGATGAAACGAAGTTCTGGGTGACTGCACTGAGAGTTTCGATTCGAGAAGCTTTTCACATTCATGATATGCTAGAGAAGTCGATGGGTAAAGTGGTTAAAACTTATGATGCGGAGCCAGACAAAACGTGTCCGAAGCTAATGAACATAAAATATGATCTGGTAAAGGAGGCGGAGAGCAACTTTGAGTCAGAATTACCGATGAAACTGGAAGACGGCGAAATCTTGATGATGAAATTCGTATGTAAACATACCCCTTGGTGCGACCACTATCGTTGGTGGTTCCATACAGCCGAAAACGGATGCCCTCGGTCAGAAGAACAAGCAAATCAAGTCGAAGCGGGAGAATGATCGGCAGGGAACCTCAACTTCAGGACAACGGATTTTCGGTCAACAGGTTTTCATTGAGGCATTGAAGAAGCAGCTAAGGACATGCAACAAGGAAGCGTACAAAGACAACAATCAACCATCTAGTCTAGAGGGAGAGCACCGAGAGGGGAGTCTTCAAATCAAGCACAACACTCAGGCATGCAAATACGAGAAAGAGGGGTCGTGGAAGAAGAACCAAGAGGTCGCCAGCCACAGGGAGGAGGCATGCAACAAGTCCAACAGACGTTTGGGATCACCCCCCATATGAGAGGCAGTCCAGTAGGCGCTTTTACTCCCTACGTGGGAGGCGGTACTCAACCCTGGCAGTACCGACAGGCGGACGGGATCTGGCAACATGCACAGGCTTGGCAAGCTGCAGGCAGGATGATGCAACAGGGAGGCATGACAAGCCTGCCATGAGGTGTACACCCGTTCCCAGGGTATCAAGATGTGAGAACGAATGCACTGGGAGTACACAATGCAGTTGTGCATCAACAAGCGAGGGGAGATCCTAACCACGAGAGAGCTCTAGTGGTATGCCATGCAGATCATAATGGAGAAGATCGAGTTTCACACGAGGTGATCATCAAAGAACACCAACCTCCCCCGCCGGGGATGGACATCGAGGAAGCAAACCCATTGGGGAAACGAAAGGAAAGAGAAAGAGGGGCGAGAGCAGCAACATCCGAAGCTTCAACAACGCAGGGAGGAACACATGCAAGAAATAACGATCAGGAGGGAAATTCACGGTGCGTAATACCGGATGGAGTGGCCACATTGGAAAGAGGAGAAAGGGAGAGGGAAGAAACCTTCATGTCGTCCTTTGTCTGTGCTATTCAAGGGGAGGAGTTCTTCGTTATAGGCTTCAGGGCTCAAGATGGCTCTATGACCCTTCCGGCAGTGCCTATTAAAGGCCTTGCAACTCCGGAGATCATCGCAACACAAACCAAAATAATTTATAACGATCGCAGATTGATCACAGAAGGATTTTCTCGGAAGAAATTATGGCAAAATTGATCACAGATCTTCGGGGGGGACGACGACTCAAATATGCAATACCACTGCTCGACGAGAGGATCCCTCCAGAATGCTGAAACAAATTAAATAACGTGGAACTAGAGTGTGTTCGGCTCAGCTGCTTTGTCACAAACGAGGTAGCGGTTATGTCCCAAATTGCGGTCGATCCGGGGATTCCGACGAAATTTCTTGTGGACTTAGACAGGTTATTACCAAGAACACGGAATTTGACTTCTCATTATTTTGCTAATGCCCTCAGGGGTAGCTGGGAGGAAACCAAACTCCTGAGAACTGACAGTGAGGGAGGCAACCATCATGCAAGCGCGTCAACTCCGAATGTTGTCTAGATGAGTACGTGTCGTCTTGTTACATGGAACGTGCAAGGGTTGGGGGATACGGGAGGTAGATGTAAGGGGACTAGAATCAAGTCATGGGTACACACGAACTTGAAGATGGCGGATATCCTGTTCATCCAGGAAACGAAACTCTCAGAACGGAAACTGACAAAACTGAAGGACTGGTGGAGCAGTCCACAACTATGGTCACCGGCGCGAGGAAGTAAAGGCGGCGTTGCTATCCTAGTTCACAATAGAATAGAAGCACAACTTATTGATTTTGACTCGGATTTGTGGGGAAGATGGTGCTAGGTTAAGTTGGAGATAGGAGAGGAGGACTAAACACTTGCCTCTCTTTATGCACCAAACGTCCTGCTAGAAAGGCTAGCTTTTTGTGAAACGCTGCCACTTGTTTTACCAAAGACAAATAAGCTGATTATTGCGGGGGATTGGAACCAGGTAGTCGCTCCAGGAATCGATTCAGACAGGGAAGACACGCCGAAAAATGATCCTAGTTACTTGATCAGATGGATGGAGGCCTGGGGATTGAAGGACATCTATAGAGTTAGGAATCCGGACAACGAAGGATATACCTTGTTTGACAATGTGGTCACTGCTCCATTTACAAAGAGAAGACTGAATTTCTTTTTTTATTTCAGAAGAGGCATGCAAGTTGGCTGTCAAAGTGGAAGAACAGAAAGGTCCGCATTCAGATCATAAACTAGTCATTCTAGATATAGCAATGGGTCAAAAGCTGTAGCGAGGCCCATACCTGTTCAGGTTGAATGTCTCGAACCTGGAGGATGAAGGTTGGAGGATGAAGGTTGGAGGAAGTGGGTAGAAGATTTGTGGACCTCTTGGAAAAGTGCTCGGGCCTATTTCAACTCAGCAGCGGAATGGATGGACAGTGGCCTGCGAATAATTGCGCGCAAGTTTGATATCTTATCGGAGATTGCCATTTTTCAAAGAAATAGTGAAGAAAGAACTCTCTGGAGGAGAGTGAAGGAGGCGGAAAGGAACATGTGTGACCACCCTGTCTCAGAGGTAATTTGGGCAGAAGAAAGGGCGGAAAAAGTGAAAGCATGGGAACGGTACCAAGATAACAAGGAAAAAAGATGGAGGCTGATCTTGGAAGTGAAGGGGATCATAACTTCAGACAGAATCACCAAGAAGTCCTTGAAAAAACTTCTTCCACAGAGGAAGCAGGTGACAATGTCAGAGTTGACACATTCGCTGCTTCCTGATATGTTACGAGCAGATACACTGCACTCAATGAGTGAGTATGCGATGACATATTTTCAGGATATCCTAACCTCTAGATGCCTCGATGAGGCTATGGACACAAACATGTCTATCCACACAGATCTCTGGAGTAACCTGCAGACAACACTCTCGCCACACCACAGACAGAGCCTGGACAGACCGATTACATCAGAGGAGCTACAACAAACAGTTAAAGC